ATGAAACGATAAGCCATAATAAATGGTCGTAGGTTTCATGACCATTGAGTTTCCTGTCATTAAATTACATTCAATTTTAGGGTCTAAACCCTTCACTTTGATCACTTTACACTATAAGTCCTTGAAATTTAACGACTACCAATTCTTTTCCTTTTCTTTTTTGGTTATTACAAACTTTCCCCCTTAACAAAATTTTGTCCTCGAAATTTGCCCTATGCAAATAAATGACGGCATCTCAATCTCGTCCCCTTATCAAGTTCCCAAGCAGCCTCTGAACCATTATGACGTCTTCATTGAACATTCACGAGAGAAATCCCTTTGGTTCTTAGTTTTTTTTTCACATCCTTAAGAGTTACGACTTACTTTTTATCTACTGAACACTTTTTTAAATTAAATACATTATGTCATAAATTTCACCATACCAACTGTTTTACTGTCTGGAGTTCTAAACATGCGATCATCCTTGAGAATAACTTATATTCGCATCCCAATAATCTTCTATCCGTCGTTAAAGCAAATTAGTGTAGTTTGTCACCAAAACTTTATCCACCAACACCACTCTACATCTATTTTATCGCATCTTACCATGTGTTTTGCAAAAACACATCTCTATCAATGTCATTACATCCAAAGATATTAAACCCTCTAATGACTTCTCTGCTTTAATCTGGTTTAAGACTAACCCCAAATTAATTTAAATCACCACTCTCATCACTATAAATCAATCTTTAGTCACACGTCTATCAATAATAAAATCTTTCATTCTCTGTTTAAGTTTAGGTTTCAATAACCTAATTCACTTAAACTTTGCTCTGATACCACTTGTAACATCCCAAAATTTCGAATACTTAAATATAACAAAATTAGTATCCCAAGATCAAACACTTACATTGCAGCGGATATAAAATATCTAATCTTACAATTTATATCACCATCTAAATTACAATCTTGAGGATCATAACTTTGCTCTATATAACAATGCCTTGATCTGCACATAACCTTCTTTGGAGCTATTCCTTATCTCTCTTTATTACACTTTTCTTTCCACTCAAATAGCCGTCTGGGTGAAAAAGTTTTAAAAGAGTTTTGGGTGAGCCTTAGGCCCAGTGAATCCACGGTTTTCATGCACGAAGAACAACTTTTACAATAAACAATTTTCACGAAGCTTCATAAATTTAGCATG